ATTTCCTCTGTTTTGTCTCTTCACCCCACTCCACTGAAAAGAAAATAAGTGTGGTTAATCAAGAAGGCGGAACCTTAGAAGGATGGGCATGTTGGGCAGGACATTGCTTACTTGGGTGTTGTTCATCTTCACAGTCAGACACTCCTGCCCCAAAGCCAAGCTTATAAAATCAAGACCTACACCTTTCCCCAAAGGACAGATCCCCACCAATGCCCATGCCAAGCACACCTGCCCAGATGCAGGCAGCCCCCTCCCTCTACAACCTTTTGGCCATGGGGGGCCCCAACAGCATTTGTGCAAGTAGGGAAAAGAATAATAATAATAAAATAGCAGCAGCAGCAGTGACCACCATTTATTGAGTACTTACTATTTGCCAGACACTGTGCTAAGTGCTTTACTAATATTACCTCATTTAGTTTTCAGAATTCTATGTGACGATTCATTTATAAATAAACTAACTAAGACTTAGAGCTGTTAAGCAACATGTCGAGTCATATAAGTACTAAGTAACAGAAGGTCCGTCTGGCTGTTAGTCAGTGTAGCTGGTGCCTGGGAGAGGCTCTAGAAGGACAGACATGACACCCAAAGATCTAGCCCCAGGGCCTAGTCACACTACAGACAGGGACAAAGCATGGATCTACTTACCTCAGGGAAGAGGTAGCCTAGAACAGCTCTATGCCTAGAATACACCCAGAATCACTGGAATTCTAACTTGGGCCATAGGTTGCAACAAGAGCATCCCTGCCTTGATCTCACTTTTATGTCTTCTTCCTCGTCTGCCAAGTCTGGTTAGGCAGATTTGTCCAACCAGAAATGTAAACAGATTTCATACTTTTCATTCCCCACAATCTTCCAGTATTCCTTTCTCCCTAACCTTTTCATGGAGGCGACAGTACTAGCCTCGAGGTATCATGAGCTACAGCTTGTAATCCAAATCTGTCACTTTTCACCTGGTCCCATTTCTTAGAACAGGATGTGGCATGTAGTAAGTGCTCAATAAATATATCATTGAATGAATAAAGATGTAAACAACTTTACCTCCCGGGGCCGTGGTTTCTTCATCTGGGGGTATGGGAGAAGGTGCAAGGACTACATTAGATGAACAATCTCCAACATTCCTTCCTGCTCTAATCCTGTATACTTGCTAATGAATCACCCTTGAGATGAGCCCCTGCTGGAAAATCCTCCTTGTTTCTTGCTTTTCTACCAAATTCCCACCTAACTGCTTCAACAACTTAACTGAGATTTTAAAACAAGTACAATGATTTCTCTACAGCTTCAATGGGGGCCCAGGAGTTTTAGTTACACAGCTAAATTTTCCCCTAAATCTAAAGATTCTGAAAAGAAGGAATAAAACGTTCTTCCCACACTGCCACCCCCTCATACAAAGTCCCTGATACACCCAGGACAGAGTTTGTTGTACAGAAAACCTGTCAACCCCTTATCAGAGTGGTTCCAAATTAGGAATACTTCTATTCACCCAGGGGTGTTTGGAAACTCGTGTGAGGTTTTCACAAAGATCAGGCAATTGGATGGGATGAAACGCATTTACCAAGAGCAAGGATGCTAATAAACATTTAGAAATGTAAGGGACAGTTCTAACAATGAAGAATTATTCTGTCCAAAATGCCAATTAGTGCCCTTCTAAAAAATACTACCTTATATATCCTGTTACCCGAGTTTCTAAGCAACTCAAGTGTTTTGCTTTACCCGGAACCAAAGGAAACACATTACTATGAGGATACAATCAAAACCACAAAACAAGCTGGGTGAGCCAGAATCCAAAGGAGATATTTAAATATGGGGCATAGAAAAAGACATCCACCAACCATATTTGAGGAAGGCCTGGCCCAAAGCCAAGACCAAACCAAGAAGAAATCATGAATCGTTAAAGAGTCCATCTGGGCAGGCTCACCTGTAAGAGGGTATCTGTGGGACAGTGACCATGGGGACAGTGGCGGTCCCCATGGTGGGTGTGTCTCGGCCTGCTTCCTCTGGCTCCTTCTTGATCTTTTGCTTCAAACTCATCTTGTTCTTCTTGGGCACTCCCTTCAGAGGGCCACCCACCCCACTTTGGCCTTCCTGCTCCTCCTCCTCCACTTCTTCCTCTTCTTCTTCCTCCCCACCACCCTCCTTCAGCCCATCCTCGTCCCCAGCCTCACTGAGGCTTCTGGGGGAGTCACCCTTCCTCCTGGCAGTGGCAGAACCTGGTGGCGAGTGGGCCTCACAGTAGGCGGTCTTACGCACGGTGAAGATGGTGCCATTGAGGCTGGTTTCTCGCATGGGCTCAATCTTCATGAAGAGCCCAGCCCGCTGTGCACATGTCACATGGAAGGCTGTGTAGCAGTTCACTTTATGGCACTGGATAGCTGCACCCAGCCCCTTCTGCTTGCAGATATAGCAGGTGAGTTTCCATCGGGCAGGTGGGATGTTGTCGATGCCCTCAATAGGCTCCAGGAAGACAGTGTTAGCAAAACAGACTTCTGGAATCCAGATGGCACACACTACATGGGCCCAATGCCCATCACTGGTCTGTTTGAAGGCACCACCCTTGTTGGGGCAGAGGACACAATCCACAGGCCGAGAGGGAGACTGCAGGCAGCAGCGGCATAACCACTGGCCCTCGGGGATATAGGGTACACCATAGCACTCCTGATGTACGGCCAGGTTACAGATGTCACAGAAAAGAATGACATTGCTATTATGACATTCATCATCCAGGCATACACAGCAGAAGGCATCTTCATCAATGAGTGACTGTTGGGCCCCACTGCTACGACTCTCCAAGTATGACTCCTTCTCAAGCCGGTCCACCAGCAGCTCAAAGGTGTCTGCTGACACCAAACTGTGCCCATCTACTCGCCGCTTTTCATTCACCATGTCCAGCCAGGCAAGGTCCTCCTCATCCATGTCATACTCTACCTCTGCATCCAGGTCTTCAGGTGGCTTCTCAATGTAGCGGTAATAGGCAGCGGGCAATGGGGGTGCTTCAGGCTGGCTGCCTGGATCCACCACACGGAAGCTGGGCTGTGGGAGGTGGAAGGAAGTTCCAGATGCATGCTTAGAGCAGGATTCCTTCTTTTTGCCCTTGGATGACGTTTTCTTGGACTTGCCTGGGAACTGAGGCTGCTCACTGTTTTCTTTGTTACTATTGCATTCGGTGATATCCTGAGCAGTCAGTTCATCTTCAGTGATGATCTTAAGTGGGTCATAGATGCTGATACGATGCAGGCGTCCATCAATATCCACCTCAACAATACGCTGGGCCTGGGCATATGTCAGGGTCTCCCGGGTGGGTGAGCACTTGAGACTGTAGGGGGATGGGGAACGCCGGCCCTCGGCATTCTGCCGCGACTTCCGGCGAGGCTTCCTCATGGCACCTAGGAACCAAGGAGACTGGCCTAAGGAGAGAAGACCAGGAGACTGTGAGCTGGATATTCATGCATGTATGTATCCACTCACCCTTCCATCCAATCAAGTGGCCACTGGGAGGACTAGCTGTTCCCTTAGTCTGAATAGTCTGCCCCTGAGGCATCCACAGGGCTTTACCTCCTTCAGGCCTTTCAACAAACAGCATTTCTCAGTGAGACCTTCTCATTACTCTGTACACCACTGCAAATACCTTCTCATTACTCTGTACACCACTGCAAATACCTTCTCATTACTCTGTACACCACTGCAAATACCTTTTCTCCACCAGCTATGGACCTTTTATCCTGCTTTATTTTCTCCTATAACACACTCCATCTTCTACCATGCAATGTAATTTACCTATATATAATGTTTATTATTTGCTTCCTTCTGCTAAAATATAAGTTCCAAAGGGTTGGGAATTTATGCCTGTCTTCACTGCTATATCCCCAGTGCCTAGAGTGATGCCCACCTCCTAATCCTTCAATCAGGATTAGACGAATATATTCAGTGAATGAAAGGAGAAATGATCCCTGTCTTCAAGGTGCTATGCCTTAAGGGAAGGGAAAGAAAACAGATCCTCACAATATGACACATGGAAAGAGCTAATGTTCAAATGGTCTATGTAAGGTTGTGGGACACTAACTGTGAAAAAAGAGAGGGTGCTTAAGACTTCAGAAAGAGAAAACAGGATGGCCACAGTGGTACACATTGGTAGTCTCAGCTACCTGCAAGACTTAGGTGGAAGGATCACTTGAGCCCAAGAGTTTAAGGCCTGCTGGACAACATTGCAAGATCCTGTCTCAAAGGAAATGTTTTTGAGCTCTATACCTGAACACTACGCCCCATTAGTGGATTGAAAACTCACAGGTCTAGAGCCCTCTTCCAATCCATCTTACCATGATCAAAAGCCCTATCTGGGCAGGGGTGAGGCCCTGGGTTCAATCCTCAGCATCACATAAAAATAAAATAAAATAAAGGTATTGTGTCCAACTACAACTAAAAAATAAATATTTTTTAAAAAGCCCTATCTCTTCCCCGCCCCCCACTTTTTTTAAGTGGTACTGGGGATTGAACCCAGGGCCTTACACATATTAGACAAGCACCCTACATCTGAGGTGCATCCCTAGCCCTTTTTAATTTTATTTTGAGACAGGATCTAAGTTGCCCAGCACATGCAGTCTCCCTGCCTCAGCCTCCTAAGTAGCTGAGATTAATGGGCATGTGCCTGCATGCCCAGCTCCAGAAGTCCTATCTCTTCTGTTCAGGGTGAAGGCATCTAAAAGGCTTATCACATGTGGTCAAAGGCTTCAAACTACAGTATGCAGGGCATTTCCTGCAAATGGAAGCAACCAGGATAATTGGCTAATAATATATTTCCAAGCAGAAACCCTGCAAGTTCTGGGAGTAGCACCAAAATATTTTTACAGTTTAAGTGTACTGTGTGGGTTCCTCAGTGGAACCAAGACCAAGGTGACTGGGACAATTATCTGAGGTAAATTCCCAGTACTTTGTTACCTCATACTTACATCTAGTCTACCCTTGTGAAACAAGGAGAAAGCTCTAAAGTTTTCCACAACATTCTCAGGATGGAGGGAACTAGGGTATGTGGTTATCAAAGCCATTACTACCAGAAAGACTTTGGGGATATGGTGTCCCACAGTATGGGCACAGATTTGGAAAGGTATGAACAGAGAAAGAGCTTTCAAGGGGAAAAACCAATTTCATCATCTTGGTTGCAGCACCAACCATCTTTACAAAGTGGATGGTGATAATAATTTAACACACTTTTACTAATCACAAAACCCGTTTCCTTTTGGTATTGCTCACAACCACCTTGGATGACATAGAGATAGTATTTTTTTCCATCTTGTGCAGCTCAGAAGGGTGTCACTCAACCCAGAGCCAGTATAAGGTGGTGTGGTACGAAAAGAGGTTCTGGGGCAATCGAGGTTCTAATCTTGGCCCTATGGGACTCGGAATAAGTCTTCTAACTCCATACTTCATCAGTAAGGAGGCTAATAACATCTACCTCTTAAGGGCTGCTGTTTGTTAATAAAGTATTATCAACATCAACATCCTTATTTAAAAGGCCTTCTATCCCAAAGTGACTGAAACAAACAACCTGCCCAAGGAGCGGCAGGCACACACCCCATTTGGAAGCTCAAGGAAACAGAATCATCACAGCAATTCTGTCCAGGTTCCAGATACCCTTGGCCACGAGATTCCTTCCAAATACCAAGTTCCCAGAGGCAGGCCAGGCCAGCAGATGTGCTTCATTACCGCCACCCCCCAAGGCAAGGGAGCCCCTAGGAGAGACAGACCTCTACCTCCATAGTTCACTGAGCCCTCCCTTCAGCAAGCCCTGCACAGTCTTCCCACCTGCCACCTCCTCCGCAGCTCAGCAATCTCTCAACCAACCAGCAAGTATCTATGCAGACCTCTTCTGTCCCACCCAAGCCTCTAGCCGCGGGGAGGCAAACCCTACAGGAGGAAGGGCTGCAGCTGAGGAAATCGAAATGAGCTTCGCCCACAAGGCGCTGACAGTCGCGTTTTTTTGGCGGGAGTTTTTCAACCTACACAGCTCTTTCCACATACCTATGAAATACCCTCAACATCTCCCCGAGATGTTCTCAGCAGCCCCTGGTCCCCTACTCGCCCACCCCACCCAGATCCCCCAAAGAACCAGGAGTTTCTGCAATTAGACGGAATCTCCTGCACTCTACACAAGACACTCCTGAGACGAGGGGAGACCCCAGTCGAGGCTACTGCCCCTTTAAGGGACGCCTCTTTCAGAAGAATCTTGACCCCTCAGAGAAGAAAAAAGGAGGGAAATAACATCTCCTCCCCAGAGGGGAGAGAGAGGGCTAGGGCATCAGAGACATACTGACGCGGAGTCCGACCCTCAGAGAAAGCGAGCGCCAGCGAACCAGCGGGGCAGAGAGCCGAGCGCCTATTGGCCGCCTGACCTGCCCGTCAGGGGGAACTGGAGGGCCAAGGGAAGCACAGGGGGCGGAATTCTCCTCTGGTGTGGCCAATTGGAGAGCGTGGCGGAGGCGGGGCTTGGCAGCTTGGCTTCTAGGGCCGGGGGGAGACAAGATGGCGGGTGCGGGAGGGGGTCCTTGCTTTTCAGCTCCCCCACTCGCCCGCCTTCTCCTTCTCCGCCGCCGCCCTCGCTCCAAGAGAGAGCTTTCGCGCCGCCCCCGCCCCGCTTGGGAAGCCTCCCGCTCCCCGGTTTCCACCCCCCCGCGAAGTCCCTGGTCCCCGTAGGCCCTGCTGCTCCCGCCCCCGCTCCGTCCGGCCCCGCTGCCGCCCCCATTACCTCAGCCGCCGGCCCGGCCCCACCGTTCGGGGCCCCTGGGCGCGGGCGGGACGGCTGCCGAGCAGGTCGGCGCGGCCCTGGGAGCGGAGCGCGGCCTCCTCCCGCGCCAGCCTCCGCGGCCTCCGCCGTGCCCCCTCCCGGCGCGCGCTGGGGCCCCAGCCCGGCCGCCGCCACTGCCGCCGCTCCCGGGGGAGGAGGGGGAATGGAGCCGCCGCCGCCGCCGCTGCCGCCACGGAGCCCGGCCGAGGGGAGGGAGGGATCAGCCCCCAGGCAGGATCCGCCCCTCCGGCCTCCCCCCGCCACCTCCACCCCTTCCCTCGCTCCCTCCCTGGCTCCGCGGGCTCTCCCGCTGAACAGGAGCGAGAGCGCGAAAGGGGGAAACGGGAAAAAAATCCCCCCGCCCGTGCCCGGCGCTGCTGCGGCCGGGGCTGCGCGGCGAGGAGCGCGGAGCCGCTGCCGCCACGGGGCACCGTCCCCAGCTCTGCCTCACGGTGGCGGTGCGGACGCGGCGGGGGCACCGAACAGAAACCGGGTCTGCGCCCGCCGCAGCCCCGACTACCCCGGCCCTGCCCGCGGCGGGATGAGCCCGTCCGGAGAGCTGGAGACGTTCGGGTCTAGTTGGAAAAGACTAGGGTCCCTAACTCTTTAGAGTCGTCTCCCCCCATTATTGCGGGAGAGGTGACCAAGGTTTGGTGTAACAAACCCCCTCCGAACTGAAGGGCTCTACAAAGGTTAAGCGAGAGCAATTAATAGAGCTGAAACCGGCCTCTGGTTTATTGGGGTGCAGGTGCCTGTACTACTCCCAGAAAGTCGCCCCCTCCCCCAGGTCCTGAGGACAAAGGTCTAGCGATGTCCGTCCCCTCCCCCAGTGAGGACAGCCAGGGAAGACCCGCGTCTGTCGTGTGCGGGTGAGCGTCTTGTACCACACAAGACATCCTTTTTAAGAAACAGATCTGACTTTTCGTTATGTGCCATCCTTTCCCTTCTGTATTTAAAAAGAGTAAACATAAAAGTTTTGACAGTGTACTTAGGGACGTCTGGTAACTGGTTTGTCACTGTAGGCATGGGAAACACTTTCTCCTTAAGTCTGAGTTGGCTAGGAATGGGTTAATTTAATATACTAGGGGCTTTCTAAAAGATGCCTGACAAAGAGCAACTTCAAACTCAGATGTAATCAAACTGGCTTTTGATTTGATTTATAAAAAATGAACTTTAAAAGGGCTTTTTTGCCACCTCCTTTTGCATATAAATTGGAAAGCTTACCTTCACATGACTAAAGTCTTAAGCACCAATATTTAATGATGTTTATAAAGGATACATGGATAAGCTGCCTTCAAATGTGAAGATGAATGACATATTTTGAAAGCATCTCCTCTGACCGAACCGATGTAGCTTTTGAGATTTCACCATTTCTTGCTTGGTTCTGATGATCCAGAACATGGTTTCTAGAGTCAGAATGATAAAGGATAAAGTCTTAGGATCCAAGTCTTCCAGATGTTTAAATTGAATGTACTGCTGCTTTTGAAGTATGTATATTTATTAGCCTAAGAATTTAGATATAAATCATTTTAAGTTTGAAAGTTTGATTAAAGCAAGGAAGTTAATTTGCATTACAAAGGTGTTTTCTGAGTAGATGGTAGCATCTTTTGGCACAGAGTAGTGCAAAAAATACTTCTGTTAAGCAATTTTTAAAAAGAAAGAGAAGTGGCTTGTGGTGCTAAGCAAGGGCAGGGCAATGTTTTGAAAGCTGTGAAGATGAAATAGTATGAATTATGTCAAGTGTTTTAAAGCTACGGGGAATAATCATCCAGAGAGAAGGTGTGGAAGAAAGATGATTAATTGTGGAAGGGAAGCCCCAGAGGCAAGAGAATATTGCAATTACTTTTAGTTAAGGGAAAAAAAAAAATCTGAAGACCAACAGGAACAAGAATACTGAATTTCATTTCTTGATCTTTTAAAATACAAAATATAATAACCATTTACACATATGAATAGTGACTTATTTCCTGAAGAAAGTTCTCAAAATTTATATAGCACAATTCCCAATTGTGTGATTGGGAGCTGACTTTTCCCGCTAAAATAAATGAATAAATACCTTGAGAAACTGCTATGGTTTCCATTGGTTATAAAATAATGATTTAAACTTTTTTTTAAGTTGTTGAAGGACCTTTATTTTTTATTTATTCATTTATATGTGGTGCTGAGAATTAAACCCAGTGCCTCATGCACGCTAGGGAAGCACTCTACCACTGAGCTACAACCCTAACCCCTGTGATTTAAATGTTGATGAAAATATGTTGTCTACCTAGTGCATGTAATCTCCAGGTTTTTGTGTACAACACTTTTATGTTAAGACCTTATTCACCCCAAGTGTTTCTCTTGCATTTTCAACTTCCACTTTTTTAGTGGTAATATTGCAGTTGTTCTTATTTACATTTTTGACATTTGGAATTGGCTTTTGTTAGTGTAACTATGCACATAACTAGTTAACTGTGGTGTAATCTTAAATGTAACATGGAACAATTATATCATTAAAAACAAATTTGGAACATGTATCAAAAATCCCAGAGGCACTAAATGTAATTCACTTTAATCTTTAGCTATTTTAAACAGTTTAAATTCACCAGCTCCTGGCCTTTCCATTAAACCATACAACCATTAAGTTCAATCAACGGGGGCATGAGCCTTTGATTTCAAATAGTTGTTTTAAGAAAAAAAGAAATCCTGCGTCTCTAGAAACTAACTTATTTGGGCTAGGAGAGTATTTTACATGTAGATCTAAAAAAGGAAACAAATACAAAAAGTCTTCATTTCGCACATGTAATTTTTTTTAAAGTGTCTCAAGGTATCTTTTTAATGCTTCACTATTATCATTAGCTTACCAGGGCAGGAAGCCTCTGAAGGGTCAGATGATATACCCACTGGATTAATAAAATATGTATGATAAGAAAAAAATAGGCCTTGACTGATTGTTAAATTATTTTTAATAGAATGTTCCTTCCTTAGACATTTGGCTAAAAGAATCTGAAACCACAGTTGGGAGGAATGTTGGAGGTTGGAATCATTGTGATATTTTTATGCTGTAATGCAAATGATTTCAGAATATAGTTTGCTTAGAAAAGGGAAAAAGTTTAGCTAAAATAACAACAGGTCTTAAATAGAATACCACACCCTCTAAATTTAAGTCCATTCATTTATTCCTGAAACACATTTTTTGACCACCTACTGTGTGTTCAACACTAAACAAGTTTCTTTGGAAAAGAATGACAAAATCTGAACCTGGAAAGGATGAGTGAGCATATAAAAAGACAGAATATTTTTCTTTGTCTTGAGTAGTGTGCAATCAAGAGAAAAGCCAGAAATAACCAGAAAACATGCAGAAGAAATTAGATATGGGCTGGGGATGTGGCTCAAGCAGTAGCGCGCTCGCCTGGCATGCGTACGGCCCAGGTTGGATCCTCAGTACCACATACAAACAAAGATGTTGTGTCTGCCGAAAACTAAAAAATAAACATTAAAAAATCTCTCTCTCTCTCTCTCTCTCTCTCTCTCTCTCTCTCTCTCTCTCTCTCACACACACACACACACACACACACACACACTCTTTCTTTAAAAAAAAAAATTAGATATGGCATTGAATAGTGTTAAGCCACCATTATTCAAAGAAGGCTTCTTTAAGGACCGGAAGCTTCTTTTGCTAGGTACTAAGTAGGAATGGATGTAAACTGGTGAACAGTGTAGAATGACATCATTGGGTTGGTGATGGGGCAGTTCAGGCAAAGGGACAATACTCAGGGAAAAATAACGAAATCATCCTAGCTGGTCTGCATGGGCAGATGTTAAAAAAAGAAAAGGTTGAACCCATAGTCCCAGCTACTCAGGAGGCTAAGGTAGGAGGATCACTTGAACTCATGAGTTCAAGACCAGCTTGGGCAAAAAAAAAAAAAGAAAAAGATTGGATTGGGTATGAGGTGTGACAAAGGTATAGGGAGAAAAGGAGATACCCACTACTTAGTGCAAGTGGTGGAGGTACCCACGACTTTTATTGAAAGTATTTGTGGACCGAGATTAATAAAGGAAATCTATTGACACGCATAACCATAAGGTCCAGGAGTACATCTAACTTTAGGCATCAGGATGCTCTCTTGCAATCTGTCAGCCATCCTGTCCCCATATGTATGGTTAGAAAGACATACTACTCTGGTGAGGTCTGATCATATGCCCACTTCTAGAACTAGAGACATGGGCAGGAGGTGATTCTCCGAAGAGTCTTTGGACACATGTACAAAATAGGTCCAATATGCACACCAGATTTTACTTATCAACTTACTAACTCTATGAAATAAATATTATATCCCCATTATGCATAGGGTAAACTGGAGCCAAAAGATCAAATAAACCAAAAAGAATTTACTAAAGGTAACAAGGCATTATGAAAAGGTATTAACCAGAATGGTAAGAGAGGTGGTAGGAAAAGGAAGAGACAAATCAACAACTTGATGACTGACTGAATAAGGGGAAGATCAAGGATGAATCTAAGTTCTTTTTTTTTTAAGAGATAAATTTTTTTTTTAAAGAGAGAGTGAAAGAGAGGTAGAGAGAGAGAGAATTTCAACATTTATTTTTTAGTATTTGGCGGACACAACATCTTTGTTTGTATGTGGTGCCAGGTGAGCGCGCTACCGCTTGAGCCACATCCCCAGCCCAAGAGATAAATTTTTTAATATTTATTTTTAGTTATCGGCAGACACAACATCTTTGTATGTGGTGCTGAGGCAAGCGCGCCACCTCTTGAGCCACATTATACTGCTGGTAGAATCACTGCAAATTAAGAGGTAGCAAAGGGTTGGTAACTCAGAGCTCCTGCTGGGGCTGGGGCCTAAGGATTGAGGAAATGATCAGATCAGCTGAAGTTCTCTGGAGGCTCTTCTGAACACTCTAAAATACATACCCTTTCAATAAGTATTTGAGCTAATAGTTGGGCTCTATTTTATGTCTATAAAAGCCAAAAGGTGAAAAGGGTATGCTTTCATATGTGAGAAGGCACAATCACAAGAATAAAGCAAATGGAATGTGCCTTGAGAGAAATGCAAACGAAGTCAGTTTGCTGGAGAAGAGGGAAGTTTCAGTCTTCCCTCTGAGCCATTTGAGCTTAGGTAGAGCGTCAGCTTAAAAGATAGTTACAGGTTGAGGTTCTGGCTGAGCCACAACCATGAGCAGAGAAATGTGTGTCCAAGAACAAAATGTCAACAAATCGAGTTTCAAAGATCTAATTGACTTTTGTTAGCAATTTAGAAATAGGCAGCATCTATTCTACAAAATAAAAAGAAGCTCCAATGAACTAGACAGAGTGGGTGAGTTTTATAGGCAGGGGGAAAAAAAAAAGCTGAGGTAAAGCTAGAACAATGAGTGGAACAATGAGCGAGTAGTGGACTGGTCATGTCCAGATTACTTTCCTTATTGGGATGTAAACAAAATCTGGTTGGCTTAATGAGATTTGGCTGTCATCTCCTGATTGCTCCAAAGTTCACATCTTTCAAGTAAACAACTTAGATTTTGGTTTGATGATGTGGAAACGGCATAAGTGATTCCATTTGGGGTCTGCTCTCTTTTCTTTGACAGGCAGAACACCATAAAATTGGGCAAAGAGTGGGATGGTTGAAAAAAGGGAGATGTGAGGGAGAAGGTTGGAAAAGATGGGATCAAATGAGAGCATGGAGAGCATTGGGGAGGGAAATAGACCTAAGGGGGTGAAAGTCTTGGTGATTTTTGAAATAGGAAAAATAATCCAATAAGTCCATGCTTTAAGATGTAGGCAGGCAAGAATGTACAGTGTGATGTAAATCATCCATCTACTGTAGCTTGAATGATCCTCCTTGGACTTGATTCTAGCTAGAACTTCTGACCATGAC